TTCTTAATATTCTTAACAGTAGCTTTGCTACAAGCGTGGTTCCACAGGCCTTTAAAAATGCAGTAGTCACTCCTTTAATCAAGAAACCTGGACTTGACCCCTCAGTGCACTCAAATTACAGACCAATCTCAAAGCTTCCCTTCCTGTCCAAAATCCTAGAAAAAATAGTCTTTACTCAGTTGAATCAATTTTTAACTGAGAACAAAATCTTTGAGGTCTTTCAGTCTGGTTTTAAGCAACTCCACAGCACAGAAACAGCTTTGGTTAGGGTTTGCAATGACATTTTAACTTCAAACGATTCTGGTCACTATGTGGTACTTGTACTCCTTGATCTTACTGCTGCTTTTGACACCGTCGACCACAGTATCCTCATCTCACGGCTCGAACACTGGGTTGGGATTACAGGAGCTGCTTTAGACTGGTTCCGTTCTTACCTCTCTGACAGGACTTTTTGTGTCAAGGTTGGTGAAAGTCTGTCCACTTCGGTCCCTCTTTCCTGCGGGGTCCCACAGGGCTCGATCCTTGGACCCCTTCTCTTCTCGCTCTATCTGCTCCCACTGGGATCCATCTTAAGAAAACATGCCATCTCATTCCATTGTTATGCCGATGACTGCCAGATCTACCTGCCACTGAAACCAGCCAGTGCTCGTTCCATCCACCCTCTCCTCAAATGTCTAGATGACATTAAGGCATGGATGACTTCAAATTTTCTCAGTTTTAACGACCAGAAAACTGAAGTCATCGTCTTTAGTCCTAGCTCAGCTGCCTCCTCAGATCCTGCAAACCTGGACTCACTTCAGCCCTATCTCAAGCACAATGTTAGAAATCTCGGGGTGGTCTTTGACTCGGATTTCAAGTTTGACAAACAGATCAGTTCAGTTCTGCAGAAAAGTTTTTTCCAACTGCGGCAGGTAGCTAAGCTCAAGCCAGTGTTATCCAGACCCAACCTTGAAACATTAGTCCATGCCTTCATCACAACCCGCCTGGACTATTGTAACTCACTTTATGCTGGGGTCAGTCAGGCGTCCATTTCACGTCTCCAGCTCGTCCAAAATGCAGCTGCTCGGCTTTTAACTGGTACACGTAGGTCTGAGCACATCACACCTGTTCTGTCCTCCCTTCACTGGCTTCCTGTGCGATCCAGAATCGACTTCAAGATTCTCCTCCTGACATATAAGTGCCTAAATGGCCTCGCACCCCTCTACCTCTCCGAGCTCCTGGAACCATATGTTCCGTCTCGGGCCCTGAGATCATCGGACCAGCTTCTTTTGGTCGTTCCAAAATCACGCCTGAAGCTCCGAGGGGATCGAGCTTTTTCAGTCAGAGGTCCCAACCTGTGGAACAACTTGCCCCTCAACATCAGGCAGGCCTCCTCCCTCCTGATGTTCAAATCCCTCCTTAAAACGCACCTGTTTGCTCTGGCGTTTAATACTGTGTGAGTTAGTTTATTTTGTTCTGTGTTACCGCATTTTAAATTCTGTTGTTTTATGATTGACGTTTATTTTTACTGCTTGTTTTTCCTTAGTGTGATCATTAGTGTGTGTTATTGCTCCAGTAATTTTAATTCTGTATGATGTTTTTGTTTTGCTGTCTATGTTTTGCTACATTTCTGTTAAGCACTTTGATAACAGTTTATCTGTTTTAAATTGTGCTCTACAAATAAAGATGACTTGACTTGACTTGAATCCATGACGAGCACAGAAGTCCAACAACAGAACACCACTCTGGTTCAGATCAGGGGGGCCGTTCCTCCCAACCACACCCCTCCAGGTCTCACTGTCATTGCCCACATGAGCATTGAAGTCCCCCAGCAGAACAAGGGAGTCCCCAGAAGGTGCACTTTCCAGTACCCCCTCTAAGGACTCCAGAAAGGGTGGATAATCCGAACTGCCGTTTGGTGCATAAGCACAAACGACAGTCAGAACCCGTCCCCCCACACGTAGGCGGAGAGAGGCCACCCTCTCATTCACGGGGGTGAACCCCAATACACAGGCACCAAGTTGGGGGGCAATTAGTACGCCCACGCGTAATGGGCGTGAAAGTAATCCCTGAGGATAAAAGTTTTGTTGGTAATAGATCTTGCGTTGACCAAACACATCCGGATATTGTCCAAAGTGGAGCCAGCAGCAGTGGAGTTAGCGCGCGCTAATGGCTGCAGGTTTTCAATAACAGCCCTTCCAGGTCGATCCGAGCTGCGCAACGGCTGACGATTAAAGCTGGTTACCTGGTCCGGGCCCACAGGAAGCTGGTGATGGAGACCATGACCGCTGGCTGGAGAGGAAGATGCAGCGCACAGAGCTTTCAACTTCACCAGCTGACCAGCATGTTTTCCCCAGCGTCTTAAGCGAGATCTCCGGGCAGCCAGGTGAGGAGCGCAGCGAAGGTAAGCTGGCACGTCCACCAGCGGGGGGGGGGGGGGGGTTCCCAGAGGTACGCTGATAATGGTCCAAATAAGCACCTTCAGTGACAGAAAAACGAAGATTCAAAAGTTGTTGTCTGTCATACACCAGCAGAGAGTTGATGTCACAGATGTGAAATGCAAAAAACAAAAATAATCTGAACACCATCAGCAGAGGTGGATTGCAAGCCATGTACACGGGTTAAAGACTTTATTTTCCTCCACTCCCATCTTCTGCAATCCTGAGCCCAAGAGACAATTTATTCTTGAAGTTGATGCCTCTGACACAGGGGAGGGAGCTGTCATCTCAAAGAGCTCCCTCTGACAATAAAATTCACCCCTGTGCCTTCTTCTCGAAACGACTCTCCCCTGCCAAGAAGAACTATGATGTGGGCAATAGAGAACTACTAGCAGTAAAGTCAGCCTTGGAAGAGTGGAGGCACTGGTTAGAGGGCACGGAGACGCCTTTTCTAAAATGGACAGACCATAAAAACTTAACTTACCTCTGAGACCCCAAGCGACTGAACCCAAGACAAGCACAATGGTCTTTATTATTTTATCTGGTTTAACTATGTCCTGACTTTCCATCCAGGTTCTAAGAACGTTAAACCGGATGCTCTCTCACGCTAGTTCTCCCCTCTGGATGCAGTCGATGACGCAGAAAGCATCGTTCCCCCCCTCCTGCATGGTAGGAACACACCTATGCTATTGAGAAAGAGGTTCTTGAAGCCCAAAGACTAGAACCTGACCCTGGCTCAGGCCCGGCGGGAACTCTGTTTGTGCCATTGTCTGTCCGTTCCCAGGTCTTAACTTGGCTCCACGTAAGTAAGTTCTCATGTCACCCTGGTGTCTCCCGCATGCTGTCTTTAGCCAAAAAATACTTCTGGTGGCCATCCATGGCCCGTGATATTAAAGACTTTGTAGCTGCTTGTTCCACCTGTGCTAGAAATAAACCAGGTAACCAACCCCCGGCAGGACTCTTACAACCATTACTAACCCCCAGCTTACCCTGGTCCCATATATCAATGGACTTCATAACCAGCCTTCTTCCATTTGAAGGTAATAGTTAATCTCACCATCATCGACAGGTTCTCCAAAGCCGCTCATTTCATCATATTACCCAAGCTCCCTTCTGCATTTGAGACTGCTCAGTTAATGGTCCAAAATGTGTTTAGAATTCTTGGCATCCCTTCCGATGTCGTCTCGGACCGGGGGCCCCAATTTATTTCTCAGGTTTGGCGCAATTTTTGTAAGGCCCTGAGGGCCTAATCCAGTTTAACCTCTGGTTATCATCTGCAGTCTAATGAACAAGCAGAGCGATGCAACCAAGAACTAGAAACCTCCCTCAGATGCGTAGTGGAGAGAAATCCCTCTGCTTGGAGTAATCACCTGGCCTGGGTGGAATATGCCCACACCTCAGCGGCAATAGGTATGTCTCCATTTGAAGCATCATTAGGGTCTGCCCCTCCTTTGTTTCCCAGTAAGGAGAATGAGATCGCTGTACCATCGGTACAGCATAATTTTTGACGATGTCGAAGAATCTGGCGTCAGACCAAGGCGGCGCTTCTTCGATCGGCCAACCACAACAAACGTTTTGCTGACCGCCACCGTTCTTCTGCACCAGCGTATCAAGTGGGGCAAAGGGTTTGGTTATTGACCAGGGATATCCATCTGAAGGACACCCCGAGAAAAATGGCCCCACATTTCATCGGCCCCTTCCCCATCAAAAGGATAATCAATCCCTCTGCAGTCTGGCTCCAATTGCCCACCTCTATGAAGATTCACCCCACATTCCACGTGTCCCAGGTAAAACCTGTTTCCCAGAGCCCTCTTTGCCCTCTGACCGACCTCCCTCCACCTGCCCGGCTTATCGATAACCATCCAGCCTTCACCGTCCGTTGCATCCTGGATGTGAGGCGCAGAGGCTGGGGCTTCCAGTACTTGGTGGACTGGGAGGGATATGGCCCGGAGGAAAGATCTTGGATACCACGCTCCTTCATCCGCGACCCCAGCCTCATCTCGGCCTTTTTCAGGGCTCACCTTGAGAAAAGACACGTCGCCGAGAGGCGATTCTTTGAGGGGGAGGGGGGGTACTGTGAGAGTATGACCTTCTGCAGCTCCTGGATCCAAGATGGCCACCAATTAACACCACCTGCAGGTCATCTAGTCATCAGGGATCCAGCTGTACTTAAGGCTGCAACCGAGCTCTACTCTCCGCTGGAGCATTCACCTCCCTTCATGGTAGTATGCTTCTGGCCTTGTTATGATTAGAGAAGGAGTTGTCTAATCTCTCTATTTTTGTATCGCAGTTACCTATGTCTCCTCGTGCTCTACCATGACCTGTCATTCTGGACACCAGTGCCTCCTGGATCTCCTTGCCTTCCAGTCTCTTGCCCAGGATTCCTCTCCCGGGGCTCCTCGAACCAACACCATCCTCCCTCCATCTCCAAGACCTGTAAGGAAACAGAATAATCAAATTAATACTCAAAACTCACCTTGCCCCTGTGGATCCATCTGACGAATCTCCTCCCGTTCCAGGGTTCCTGTGGAGTGTCAACTGTTACCTTTTCACTGTAAATAATAAACACTGTTAAACTTTTACTCCCTCTGAGTCTTGCTTGTCTCGGTCTCGGTCTAGGTCTCCTGAGTTATGACACATTAAAATTTAAGGACAAAATTTAACCTAATTGTTTTCAAGTCTGCATCTTATTGTAAAAGCAGTTTCAAAGATTACAGCACAGTGTGATGTTTTGTAATTTTAACATGAACCTTGTGCATATCTGCAAATAATAAAAGTGAAGATATTTTTTAATACATCTTTTTTGTAAAAATCTAAAATGGAAAATACATGAGTTTAAGCAGGCAGGGAAGGCAATAAGGTAGGATTATGAATTAGGTTTAAAAGTTACAGCTCATGAGGTACTCCATTAGAGCATGACATCTCTTCCACAACATCGTGTGGCAAAGCCTTCAAGGTGTTCTTCTTCTAATATGTTTAGTGGTGGCTAGTAAATAGCTTAAGGGAGCACTACCACCACCAAGTGGTAAGACGAGTTAGATTCTGGTCCCCGCCTACAGAGCCGGTCCAGAAGTGTAAATGAAAACGCGACGACAAACGAGCTGATCTGAGCTGACCCGAACTGACCTGATCCGCACTGTAACAGTGGAAAAGGGGTATAAGCCCCTCCATTTGCAACTGGGTACTAGACTTCTTAACAAACAGATCGCAGTCAGTGAGGATCCACAACTTCTCTTCCTCCACATTAGAGGATGACATTTTTTCGGGAGTACTCCCGGTCACGTGAATCCGGCCGGATTCCGGCGGGACCGGAGTCAACTTTATTATAACTCCCGTTATCGGGACCGGACAGGACGAAAACTTAACGGGAGCAGACGGGAGCGGGAGCCAACATAGGACAAAAAAAGAAATAGGCAAAAAAAAATAATAATAATAAATTTCAGACAGGCGGCTGCGCCAACAGCTTCCGGCGCCTTTTCCAGCAGCTACTTCCGGCCGCCTTTTCCAACCTCTTTGTTTACTTTATCAACCAACATCATGGAGGGAGCATACGCCAGCGGAGAAACCGAGAGGGTAAAAAATATTTTGCAACGCAAAGTGCGGAGAAACCGAGAGGGTAAAAAATATTTTGCAACGCAAAGTTAGGAATAATGACGCATCTGTTAGGTTAACAGAACTGTCAGGGAAGGCGCTAATAGTTCAGAACTTTATGAGAGTCGATTGTGACGGTGTGAAGACGCTCTACGCTGCTTGCAAAACATGTTCAGTTATAATAAAGTACGCCACTGACTCGGGGACGAGTGGTCTGAAGAGGCACACTTGCAAGGCTAATTTCGGAACGAATCAGCCAAGCATTTCTTCATTCATTAAACAAAAAGTCTCGTATGACCAACAAAATAGCCCGCATGTGCGGCGTAGATTTGAGACCATTTGCTGTAGTAGATGGGAAAGGTTTCATCGACGTCATACAGGAGGCAATCGACATTGGAGCAAAGTATGGAAACAACGCTGAGGCACAAGACATACTGCCATGTGGACGCACGGTCTCCCGTCATGTTCAAGGAGAATACGATAAAATTAAAAAAATGGTCATGGAAGAGCTCCATCAGGTATGTCTGTCACGCTGCACTATTTTATAATACAGTACAAACATTTTACCTTGACATCATGCAGTAGTCTAATTATAGATTTCCTAACACTAAATCTGTTTTTTCTCCTCCTTTTAAACTGCTTAATCTCTCAACTATAAATTAGTCATCTGTTTTACATGTAATATACTTTGAGAGCTAATAACAATATACGTAATTCCTTTGGTGCAGACTAGAGACCATGCAATCACGACAGACCTTTGGACAGAGGAGAGGACAAACACACACTACATCACCGTTACAGTCCATTACATCTTGGATGGGAAGATGGTGAACCGTATTCTGGCCACAAGGGAGATGGAGGGTGTCAAATCTAATGAACACATCAGAGGGACTGTGGAGAAAATCCTTCAGGTATCTCACACTCAAATGAGATAATTATCTTTATTTACATGGCATATTAGCTTTGTAGAGCTCTAGTATAGAGCTGTATGAATGGGTAAATGAGGCACAGATTGTAGTGTAAAGCGCTTTGAGTGTCTTGAAATAAGACAAAGGCGCTATATAAGTACAGTCCATATGCAATAAATATTGCCAATTAATTCGTAAAATTGGGAAAAGTATGAGAACATGGTGCAGCAATAACAAGAACATGTCACAGAAGGAACAATAGAAAAGACAAATATATATATATATATCATTCAACCTTTACAGGCTAACCTCATTGAGTCACGAGGACTCATTTTCAAGAGACCTGTTCCAATCCAGACAGACAGAACATATAAAGTACAGACAACAATAACAGTTAACGATAAACTACAGTAAAAATACAGTTAAAATAAAAGTAGTGTCTAAAAAAATAAATCAATGTGCCATAAAAAATGTAAAATACTAAAAACAAGAATATATTTGCTTTGAGATTTTTATTGACATTAAGAAATGTTTAAAACCCCTCACAATAAATTAAGGTGGACAACTTCAGTTCCTGCTGAAAGGTGTTCCAGGTTGCAGGAGCAGACTAACCTGGAATATAAATCAGTGCATCAGTAAGCGTGTGTCACGGTCCTTCGCTGTACATCAGTCTGTGCCATGGTAGGCAGCAACTTAGGCAGACTACCATAGTATTTTACCTTAATTGCAGATGGAGTTTTCCTTCATTTGATACACAACACATGTGTAATATGTTTTGTCCTAATGTAGTACTATAAATTTATTGAAAAGTGCTTCGTACAATTACATGACTGTTGATCAATCTGTTTAATGATCATCATATGTCTGGTCTTCTTATTTGCTAAGTTTTTGGTTTGTCTTTGTTTTGTTTTTTTACCTAACAGGAATTTGGCATCCTGAGCAAGCACACTGTGTTTGTGACAGATAATGGCTCAAACATGATCGCTGCTTTCAAGGATTATGTGCGGCTCTCCATAATATCAACTTGATCTTAAAACACGTATTTGACCACTTGGATGAGGACAACCCAGTACACAGCAGCGTCATCAAGCTGTTTAAGGACACAAAGACCCTGGTCACACATTTCAAAAGGGCAGGGTAAGATACATAAAATCTTGTCATCTCTGCCTGGTGAGGCTGCTTAAATAATCATAAAATATGATAAGTGAAATAAATAAAGAAAAATTGAGGTACTGTAATTTATAACTGCAAAGGTCACATTTTCTTGACTTAGTTTCAGTTGTAAAGCTCTTCTTTTTAATAAAATATTTTTTCCAAAAGAAAGGCCAATAAATTGCTATTTTTATAGTCCCTGTAACCCTATTTTGACTTGTGCACGGTCTTCTTTCAATTTTAGGTTACAAAAAGCACTGGACCAGTCACTGAAGCAGGCTGTGGAGACGAGGTGGAACACCAGACTTGCCATGCTCCAGTCAATAAATGATGCTCTCAAGTCTGGTAAGCTGCACGACATCCTGCTTCGCAGAAGCGAGCTCCGTTACCTCAACAACATAGACTGTGACCTTCTTGAGGACGTCATCCAGCTCCTGAAACCTTTTGATGAGGCTACCAGGCACCTCTCCATCCATCAGGCACCCACTCTTCACCTCGTCCTCCCAACCAAGGCAACCCTGCTGCAGGGTTTGTTGATCCAGGATGGAGATAGTGCAATTGTGAAAGAGGTAATTTAATACTTTGTTTATTTGTATTGTTTAGTTTGATCATTCAAGTAGCTAACAGGAGTTTGGCCCTATTCAACAACAGTGATAAAGGCAAGAACAGAACTGAGTCTGATGTTTTCCAAAAGAAACATTGTACAAGTTAAATTTGAAATAAATTTAAAACTCCTCCACGCCTATAACAAAGCACAGTGCCTGTCCGCCTGAGAATTTTTTATGTCCTGTAATAATGATGTTGCATACATCATTATCATATCACTGCATGTGTCATCATGTGGTTTCACTCCTCCTCTAGCTGAAAGAGAAGTTGGCCCAGGCAGTGGAGTTGAAATTCAAAATCCACCTGTACCATAAGCTAGCCACAGCTCTCTCTCCTAGCCTGAGGAGTTTCTTGAGGAAAACGCTCTCCGGTCAGGAGTATGAGGAGGTCATCAACACCCTGGCAGCACTCACAGAAACAGCAGGGACAGAGAAGAGAGCGAGAAGCCTTGAGAAGAAACAGGGTGAGTAAAACTAGCATCAACAGAGCACTCACAGCAATTCTAAAATGTAATAACAACATTTCTTCCTATCATTTATTTAGAGGCATTCATTCACACACACGTCTGTATAATCCAATAGGTAATGTCCAATACAGGTAATGTTCTATAAGAATCTCTCTTTTTTTGTTGTTTTTTCTCTCCAAAGGTCCACCCCGAGAGGCAGTTCCCAGTCCCACAGAGGTGCACGACTTCTTTTCCTTTTGTGTTGAAAAGCAGCAACAGGAGGGGGACAGTGGTGGTATTTCAGAGTCATGGGGCCGCCAGTTAGTGGTACAGTACATGAGTGACTCTAAGTTGACAGGCTTCCAGTCTCTGCTCAACTTCTGGCATGAGAGGTCTGATGGGCTAGTGCCAGTTGCCAAGAGGCTGCTAGCAATCCCAGCAACAAGCACTCCTTCTGAGCGTAGTTTCAGTGTTGCTGGGAGACTGATTGAGGAGAGGCGTTCCACCCTCAATCCAGAACATGTAGATGAACTTTTGTTCCTACATAGCAACTTATAATGACAACTATTCACATGTGCTGAAGAGTGGGAAAGTAGACTGATATGCACGGTGGCTGACAGACACACAGCAAACAGTTAAAACGTGCTGCAAACACAGGAATGAATCAAATTCCAAAACAAAAAAACAGAAAAAAAAATCTGCAGTCACAGAAAATAGATGACACACAATCAAAAAAAAAAAAAATGCAAAGGAAAAATGCTTCAAATACAAATAACACCAAAACAACTGCTGGTCTGGTCAACAGCATTCTGCCAGGGGACTGAACTTAGCGGTTGCACAAAGTAGAATTCCTCTGGTGGAGATGATCACAGCCACAGAATCAGCCATCCGCAACAACAAAATTAAA